GTGCACATTTATGGGGTGAATCTGTATTTGGAGATACATTTTATTTTGTACTGAAGGACACAATTTATAGACAGTGTGGCATTTTTGGAAGTTCCTCCTTTAGAAATAAAACCAGTCTGACTTCAAACAAAAACACAAACAGATTATAAACAAGGCTTCACACCTGACATTCACCGTCTGACCTAAAACATCACCTCTTCTTTACACTGATAAGGATCTTTAGTTCTCTCAGGAACATGACTTGAAAGGAATTCTGAGATTTACATATACATATTAATCAATTAAAACCTTTTAACTGATTAAGGATTTAACAGCAACTTAGGTTTTTTTAAGTATATCCTCAATGGTGTGGACCTTTGATCTTTTACTTCTAAATTCTATGTCTGACACTACCTCTCTCACTGACACCTGAAGCAGGAATCAGGCTCCAAAAGCTTGTTTTCAAATAAACCTGTTGGACTATAACCTGGTGTCGTGTAATTTCTGACATTACTGGCAAGGCCAGGATTTATTGTCCTCAAAAAGGTTCGGTGAGCTCCTTTCTTGAAGCACTATAGTCTGTCTCGTCTAGGTACACCCACAGTGATGTTACTTCGAGAGGTTCAGTCATTCTAGATGTCATTGGAGAATTGTTTACGTAGAAACAATGAGGAAGGGTATGGGATGAAGGTGGAGAATTGCACAATGCTCATTTGAGCAGACATAAGTCATGATGCCCATTCAAAGAGACACAGCGTAGGCACAATGGCATTTGTGGCCTTCTTCTGATTCTCAGTATGTATAGCGTAATCATAAAATCATAAAACATAGGAGCAGAGGTAAATAATTCTGCCCATTGAGTCTACTCCACCATCAGTAAGATCTTGGCCGATCTTGATAATCCTCAACTCCGCTGCCTTTTCCCCAAAACCCTCGACCCATATGGATTAAAAATCAATCCATCTCAGCTTTGAATACACTTAATGAGCCAGCCTCAATAGCCCTCTGCAGTAAAGCATTTGACAGTTTCACTACCCTCAAGAAATTCCTCATCTGTCATAAATGTGAGGTTCCTTATTCTGAGAATGTGCTCTCTGGTCCCAGATCTTCCACAACCTTGCACCTACCCTGACAAATAACGCAAGAATCTTGTATGTTCCAATAACATCACCTCTAAGTCTTCTATTTTTCCAATGAGTACAGGCCCAACCCACAAGCCCTTCATACCTGGTATCAGCCTCGTGAACCTTTTCTGAACTCCAATGCCAAGATATCTGACCTTAGATAAGATTACTAGACTAATAATCCAGAGGCAAGGATTAATGATCTGGGACACAAATTCAAATCCACCACAGTAGCTGGGCAATTTAAATTCAATTAATTTAAATAAATCTGAAACATGAAACCTATTATCAGTAATAGTGGTCATGAAAGTATTGGGTTGCTCTAATGTGGTTCAGATATCCTTTAGGGAACTAAACAGATTGACTCCAGGCTCATTTCAATGTTTGTGACTTCTAACTGCTCTCCAAAATGACCAATAGATTGCTGAGCAGAGAAAGAGAGAGAGATAAACACACAAACACATGACCACCATCTCTCAAGATCAACTGGGGACAGGTGAAAAATATGACTTTGCCAGCATCACCCACATAACTGACTGATTCCGAATTAAAATCCTGAAAATTCAATGAGCAAATTATCATTTCTAAATCAGAATGATGCCATCTTAGAAACGTAGTTGCAGGGGTGGTATTCCTGTGTGTTTGATGCCCTCATCTTTTTATGATGGTAAAGATTCTGGAAAGGTATTGTCAAACAAACCTGACAAGTTCTTGCAAAGCATCTTATCCACAGTACATATTGCTGCCACTTCGCACCAGTGGTAGATGTGGGTGAACTTCTTTACTCTGGATGATATCGAGCTTCTCAAATATTGCCTGATCCCATATCCCAGGAATGAAAAAGGTAGGTAAGTCTCCCTAATACTCACTGAAAAGACTGAGATAGGCTGGGTTACAATTTGGATGTGATATCGCAGGGAAACATCCAATAAGCCATTGTTCAACATGAGTCCCTGTTAAACACTGCTCATGAAGGACTTCATGCAATCCACACGTAGCTAGTGATTACAAAACCTGGTGCGGCTTTTCTGCCTATGCAAGGAATATAAGGCTGGATGTTGGAGGCAGGAGGCTTCCAGTCCTTCAGATATTCTGCAGCCTTTCAATGACATACCTGACGCTGGTGCAAAGAGGCAAAATACCATCCTAGTGTCACACCTACAGCCCTAAAAATGTCTAGCAATTCCCTGACAACAGAATCTCCTATTACTATGTTGCCACTCTCCTTTTTATTCTTCAGAGGGGGCTTGGTCAAACATTGTGCCACAGACTTGGCTCTTGCTACATTCCCCTGAGAACCGGTCTCCCCGGCAGTATCCAAAACAGATAACCTGTTAAAGGGGGTGATGAACCCAGAGGGCTCTTGCCTTTTACTCTGCTGGTTGATCACCCACTCCCTTTCTGTTGGCGTACTCTTCACTTGTCTGCAATAGGGTGGAAGACAGGAGGATTTAAATGACAAAAAAAAGTACAAGGCAAAAGAAAAGGAAGAGGTAGTAATGAGACAAGTTGACAAAACTAAAAGTGGGTCTAGTAAATGGGAAATAACTGAATCATCAACAGCTGATGCTAGCCCAAAACATGAGTGCAAAATGATGGCAGAGTCAAGAAATTGTCAAGTGTCTAATTGCAAGATGAGGTGCTGTTCCTTGGGCTTTCGTTGAGCATAATCAGAAAATTGTAAGAGGCCAAAAATCAGGAGGTTAGTTCGCAAGTGGGGCTGAAAATTAAAATAGTATGTGACCAGATGCCTGGGATCATGATTGTGATTTGGTTGAAAGTGTTCTATAATCTGCCTTTGACATCTCAATGAATGGGGGAGAGATGAAGTCAATAACATTGAAAAAGATTCAACCAAATTGCCAGTCCTTCCAGAAGAAATGGCAAAGAACATTGGGTGTTAAATGAAAGAAGATCTCCGACAATTGCACGGCAGATACCTTAGCAAGAGGAGGGTGCAGCGAGGCGATTGAAGAGTGGACAAGGGTTCACTCAGAGGAAGCCATTCCTTTGGAATATTGAGGGATCATTATCTTCGGTGATGATATGGCACTAGCAGTGCCAGAAAAGGAGTGTGGATCTGCTGAAAGCAGGAGATTAGTGGTGGTGTGGTGTTTGGGGGGGTGGGGGGTGGTGGTGGTGGTGGTGGTGGTGGTGGTGGGGAGTGGGGATGAAGGTGAGGAGTCAGGAATTTATTGTAGTTCTAGGAGGGAGGGAAAGGGTGTGAGCAGAAATCAGCAGTTCCCAAAAGCGCCAGATCTTGGGACACAGTAACGTCCAAGGTCTTGTAGGGTGATAGAAGTGTATAATTGATATATACGTAGATCTAATTTTGGAATTTGGATTTCAAATAAAGGCAAGTGGGTATTGATTACTTTGGAGAAGGATTCTCCTGTTAAAAAAACAAGGTCAGAAAGTCCATCAGAAACAGTGATTTAAACCCAAAATTTTGTCAGAAACCAGGTGTCAGCATGCATTTACTTTTGTTTTAAATTCAATCCAGTATGAGCAAGATTTAAAAAAGTAAAAAAAAGTTCAGTTCAGAAGCTACCAGTGCTGAGTGTAGAAAGCAATTTAATTTCTCTCTTAGAAGCAGCATTGTGGGCATTCAGGGAACAAATCACCTCAGCAGAAGGATTTATTTTGTTAAAACTTACAAGCCAGGAGAGTTTGGTTAGAAATCTTAATGTTATTACAACTGGGATAGTTCAGACGCTCAGATTTGTAAAAAGTTCACATTAGCAGATTTGAAATGGACTCTGAATGGTCTTCACAGTCCATAGCAAAGAAATTATCTGGGATCAAATAGTTACAATAGGGCATTGTTTATCTAGAATTGAACGAGTTAAGGATATTTTTGGAAAATAGTTTGTAACCTTGCTTCTGTGTGTGGTGAGATCTATTACATTATGATTATCAACTATATTTAAATAGCTTTTTTTTTAAATTTACTTGTGTGTTCAGAGTAAGTTCACTAGCATGATCTCCAGTAAGGAGGGATGGTCTAATGAGCAACGGCTAAACAGTTTGGGACTCTACTCATTGGAGTTCAGAAGAATGAGAAGTGATCTTATTGAAACTATACAATTCTTAAGGGGCTTGACAGGGTAAATGTCAAGGATGCTTCTCCTCATGGGAGGTTTTAGGACCAGAGAGCGTTGAGTCAGAATAAAGAGATGCCAATTTAAGACTAGGATGAAGAGGAATGTCTTCTCTCAGAGGTTTGAGTGTCTTTGGAACTCCTTGCCACAGAGAGCTGTCGGGGGCAGCTTTGTTGTGTATGTTTAAAAATCACAGAATCCCTACACTGCGGAAAGAGGCCATTCAGCCCATTGTGTCTTCACGGACCCTCTGATGAATCACACTCAGACCCAGTCCCCAACCCTATTCTTATAACCTCACATTTATCATGGCTAATCCACCTAAGTTGCACATCTTTGGAGTTTGCAGCACCCGAAGGAAACCCAAGCAGACAGAGGCAAAATGTGCAAACTCCACACAGACAGAGTCACCCGAAGCTGGAATCAAAGCCAGGTCTCTGGCACTGAGAGACAGCAATGCTAACCACTGAGCCATCAGCTGCCCAGTAAGTTTAAAGGTAGTTATATTCCTTATCAGCCGGTGAATCGTGTGTTATGGAGAAAGGGCAGGAAAGTTGACTTGAAGAATGTTGAATCAGTCATGAGCCTATTAACTGGGGGAGCAGACTCGAGGGGTTGAACAGCCTACTTCGTTCCCATTTCGTATAGTCTTATAATCTTATGGTGTAATAAATGTCTGGTGTTAAAGAAAATTTGTACCTTTGTCTGAATACATCTCAGTGATTGACCAATGGCATTAACAAATGCGTAACAAAAATAAACATATGATCTATCAAGCCAGGTTTTATTGCAATTACTCTTATCCAGTAGTACCATCAGCTAAGATCGTAACAAGTGGGGGCTCTTCACCAGGATTTAAACTAAGTTTAAGAGGGATTGGCATCTCTTAAAGTACTCAGTAGGTGGAGGTTCTGGATGTAAAGAGGGCTATTGCGGTGCCTACATCAACAACTTGGATGTGGTTCAGTGAAACCGGAGAACAGCATTTACACTACAAGGTCAAACTGATCAGTTACAAAGAGCCATTTGAGCATAAATCTGGCTAATAGTGTATTTGCCAACAAAAAAATGATTTATTTGGGCTACACTGATGGCACAAGGATAAGTACCAACTATGAAGTCAAAATAAGGGGCTATTTTGGATCCTCCTATGCCTAAAATGAAACATGAAATTCTGTGATATATTGACATGAATGGACTTCATCAAACATTTGTTGCATGTTTCAGAACTACAGTGAGCTTCTTTGACAAATGCATTGAGAAAGGACAAGAAATGTGAATGGACAAGAGCACTTCTGAGAACTGGAAAGCTGTGCTGAAAACCACACTGGTTTTAGCAGCAGTGAATTAAGAAGCCATTCAAACTGGCTGTTGATGGCAGCAACATTGAAGTGGGAGACATTTTCATGACAAGAAGATTAAATGAGGATTGAATGGCTTGTCACCAAAGAAGCTGAACGTCTATTGCATGAAGGTGGAGAAAGAAACACACAGTCTTTTACTGGATCTATATCACTGCACAATTTATATATCTCCAATCGCTCTGAAGAAACTGTTATATGGACCTTTAGTTTTTTTATTGGTGGAGGCGGGGGGTGAGAGATTTCAGGACATGAATTTAAGTTTGTTTCATCTGGAGTTTTAATACTCTAGACGTCGGAGGGCCGCAGGAAGAGAGGAGGGACTGCTCGCATGGCTTGCAAACCCACCAATGCCAGGGACTCCTATCATTCTGACCTAAGAACTGATTTCAGCAATTAGCTGAATATGTCATTAGCCAGGTCCTCAGCAGTTGCTCCATTTGCCAAGTTATGTTGTCTGACCCTGACTTGGGATATCAAAGATGATAGTGGCAGCTATGAAGCTCAAAGCATGAGAAGAGGAAAGAGGCAGCCATGATGTTTGCTGCTTTTACAGGGTTTAAATTCTATTTTGGATTTATCATCTGCGTAGGAATTAGGAGGTAAAACTTCAAATACTCATGTGGACGAGTTCCCCCCAACACCTCCCCCCAGTGTCTTCGTCAGCATTTATCAGTCAACTTACATCAAAGTAATAAAAACTGTTGATCTGGTCATTAGTAGATTGCCGATTGAGACAGCTTGCTGTGTAGAAATTGGCCACATTTCCTATATTACAATAGTGACCATACAGGTACATCAAGATTTCATTGCCTATAAAAAGCTTGGGACTTCCTGAAATGCTTTATAATACAAAAACAGAAATTGCTGGAAAAAAAAACAGGACTGATAACTCTGTTTTCTCTCTACAGATGCTAACATTTCCAGTCCAATTACCCTACTTCAGAACTGTGCTTTTCCACTATTTCTGTTTCTCAGCATTGCTGGTTTTGTGTTTTTTTTGCATTATATACAATCCAGGTCTTTGTCTTTACAGACGTACCAGGATTTTAACTACTGAACAATTTCATAACCTAGTGAAAGCATCAACTAGTACCCAAGCAGGAAAAGCCTCTCTGGCATGATCCAACAAAACCAAAACTTCAGAAAAGTGCCTGTCACACCCAGCAGCACTTCCACAAGGTCTCAGTGTCTCTGAGCCTATCTTTCAAATCAATATCAATGAGTGCCCAATAAACAACAGTGTTCACACTTTGGGTTTGTGGTCCCCCTGGTTATCAGGACAAACCAGAATGATTGCAGTTTATTTCAAATGGGACAATGAGGCTGTTGGCTAATGTGTGGCATTAGTTTACATGACCACGATCACACTCTGAAATTTACATGCCACAATTAAGTAATATCCTGACCGAGAATGTTGCAACATCATCCCCACCTTTCTAACCTATGTCTTCGCCACCAGCTGCTTGCTGTAGGCGGGTGTTTATACTCAACTTTTCAGAACATAGACTTTCTGGAGCCTGGACAGGAAAACCACAAGTGGCATTGCCAGGGTGCTGCATGAAGGGAGGGGTATATACGACAAGAAATTAAAAAAAGGAGTGTCAGGGAAGTGGGGGAATTTTTCTGGTCAGGTGGGGAGAGGTGGATGTCACTTTGAATCTTAACTGCACTGACAGCCACACCAGTCTAGTTTAAAGAGCTCTGTTTCCCTCTGAATTAACCAGCATGTCAGGGATAAGTGATGAATAAAGTGCTCACTGACATCCTTGGTAATGATTTTTAAACTGTGCAGCTCAATACTGATCTTACCTTGGAACTGACTTAACTGCTGAACTCCAAATGCACTCCTCTGCTCTTTATATTCAGGGGACACTCTGATCATGTGGCCATTTATTTGATCATGTTGTCTTTGCTTCTCCTGAAAAACAAATGGATGGGGTGATGTCCCTTTAATTACATCCTAAAACTGCAGTGACAAATGAAACACAAGGCAAAACTTGTAAGAAAAACTTGCCAACTGGATATTACAGCCCCTCATAAGTTAGGCCTTCGAAATTTTCACATACAGGCTCTTTCATGAATATTTCATTCCAAGCATGTAATATATATGTGCAGAAGACAAGGACAGTAAAAACAGCAACACATGCCTGTGCTGTACAAATGCCTGTGCTGCTATATTGTAACATAATATTGCACACATTCTCTTGCCTTGTAACTTAGTCACAAAAAAATGTCACCAAGAATAATCTACGCAGTGTCAGCTTGACGCAACTGAAGCATTTTCCCCGTCCAGTCAGAAAGCTGTATCCAACTTCAGGAACTGAGATACATAATATCTGGGGGAACAAGGCAATGTGGGGTGGCTGGCTAACTTAGTTGGCTAGCCGGCTACTGTATGGCTCCAAATAATGTCATCAGTGTGGGTTCAATTCCTGCTCTGACTGTGGTAAACATGGGATCTGCCTCTTTGCCCTGTTGCTGGGAATGAAAGAGAATGGAACGACTGACTGAAGAAACAGTGAAGTGAAACAGCTCAGTCAGCAAAGGACCTGATTTCAGTCAGAGCACTAAACTTCAATGGAAAAGTGGAGAGTCAGTGCAGTACTGAGCAAGTCCTGCATTGATTGAGTCATGCTCTACATGGAACGTGTTAAATCAATCTACAAGTCTTGGGAAGGCAGTGGTGGGTTCCCAACAGACAAAACTTCAGTAACAGCAGAAAGGGCCAGAAGTTTTTTTGTTTAGCTATTTTAGAATAGAAGAGAGGGAATAATTCTGGAACTATACTTGGAACTGTTGGACCTTTCATCCTCCTCCACGGCACGGTCTTCCTCCTCTGCCAACATCTTCTCTAGGACTTCTCACCTGGAGCATGTACCTTGTGCTGGGGACATATACTCCTTACCCTCTGGCAGTATCTTATGGACACCCAGTCTCAAGAGCCAGGCAGTTGCTTTCCACTACCCTCTTGTGACAAAGCGAAATAGTACCCTAGTAAGAAATCACAACAGAACGTGCTACAGAAACTCAGCATGTCTGACAGCATCTGTGGAGAGAGAAAAAAAAAGAGATAATGTTGAATCTAGTACAACTCGTCTTCAGGCCACTCAAATTGGACTAACGTTAACACTCTTTCTCTCTCTGCAGGTGCTGCCAGACCGGTTGAGTTTCTCCTGTACTTTGTTTTTAATTCAGATCTTCAGCATCCACAGTATTTTGCTTTAGGTACCCAAATAAGGTTGGAATCTAACAGTCACAATGGTACATTTTGCAAGTGTTTAGGCAGATGAAATAAAAAGCTGTAATGTCTAAAGGTTTCCAAGGATTGTGGAAATCTAGATTGAAGGCAGGGCAGAATTTCCAAATTCCACTCCCAGAAATGACTAAGTTATTTAATGCTGCTTCATCTGAATCCCATCAGCAAACGTTTAGAGCCTGTGCTTCTCAAAAACACGAGCTGACTAATACACCAAACAATGTGAAGGATGAGTGTCTCAAATCTGTCAGTTTGTAGCTGGTGAAAGGCTGTGAACCATGCCAAGAACTCAGTACGATTTGCTACTTGTAGCAAAATTGTCCCCAGCACCACCCATTCCCTTACACAGCAGAAATCAATGCTCTAAAGTGCAAATCTTTCAGATAGTGGGAGACTTTCCAATTTATTGTTTTGCTCAGAAAATTGTGAAAGATCCTATTTTACAGATCAAGCAACTGACTGGCAAACTATACCTTCAGTCCTTTCGCTCAAGTCATTTAAGACTCTAGGATAAAGTCTATCCAGAATTTTCCCACAGAGGGTGGTGTGTGTATGAAATGAACTGCCAGCGGAAGTGGTAGAAGCTGGTACAATTACAACATTTAAAAAGGTATCTGGATGGGTACATGAATAGGAAGGGTTTAGAGGGATACGGACCCAAATGCTGATAAATGGGACTAGATTAACTTAGGACAGCTGGTCAGCATGGACGAGTTAAACTGGAGGGTCTGTTTCCATGCTGTACTCCTCTAAAACTTTCATCAAAGACGACTTGCTGTCTTGCCACCACCATAAATAGTGACCAATCTATCCAGTCCAAATACCTAACTAAACGGTAATGTCATCAAGAATATTTGGCAAGACTTTGCCTCGGAAGAAGTGAGGAAAGGAGACTCCGGATACGAGGTTTGTCTGAATCTCCAGTTGAGCCATCCTCACTATGATCCCAGGTAGGAATGTGTGGAATTCTGGGGAAAGGACTGCAAATTTCACAATGAATCCCTTGATACAAGAGTTCATTCTCCCAGTTAGAAATACAACATGTCTGCCTTAAATATATAAAATTATCAGTAATGCCCAGAATTAAGTTTTAACTGCAATAAGACAGCAACCTGAAAATGAACAATGATTCTCTCTTTCTCCCCACAACTGCTGCTTGACTTTGCTGAGCATTTTCCAATACATTTCTGTTTTTATTTCACATTTCCAATTAAGAGATGGCAGTACGGTCCTGTCATATACAAAGGTGAATACTGTTTTGTTGAAGCAATGCCTTTGCAGTCCAATGCAGTCAATAGGTATAGAATCTTCTCTATTGGAAAATAAAACCCCAGGATTATTCTCTGAATGTGCTTCAAAAAGAAAGAGAGGCACCTACCTGGTCTGCCATGAGCTGTTGCTGGAGGAAATTATGATGCTGTTTCTTCAGAAGTTGCTGCTTCAGAAAGGCGTTTGGTGTGGCTTTTATATAATTGTTACCAGGATTAGGATCCTATGTTGAAGGAGAAGAAGAAAGGTAATTTTCTAAAAAAAGTAGTAAGCCTTTAATTATTAGTAAGACTTATTAACAAACCAGTCTGTTGTTAAACTGTTGTTTTCCCTCAATCAATAACCCACAGATAATCAGAGTTCAGATTGATGAATTCACAGGCAACGGACAAGAAGAAGGATACAAAATTCTGCCTTCCCCTGTCTAACCATCCAGACCCACCTCACCACAATGTCACAGTGGGATGGACAAGACCTAGGGCAGCCCAGCTGCTGTCCACATCGAGGCCCTCAACTGGGCAATCAATGGTCTTTTCTTAAAAAAAAACTTTGAAAAAGCATGAAACTCGACTATTTGGAAGATCCTGGCCACAATGTTGCATGTAATTGCCAAATTGTTGAAGCACAGAAGGCCACTATTTGGTCCACTGTGCCTCCACCCCTCTTTAAACCAGCATCATTAGCTAGTGCTAATCTCCTGCCTTTTCCCATATCTCTGTACACCATTTGTATCCAGATACCCATCCAATACCTTCTTGAATGCCTCAATTGAACCTGTCCCCATCACATTTCCTTGCAGTGCATTCCATACCCTGTTTACTGGGCTTTCTCTCACATCACTCTTGTTTCATTTCATTCAGTTTAAATCTATGTTCTCTCATTCTTGCTCTTTTTACAGGCAGGGAAAGATCTTGGTAGAAGGTGGCAGTGTGGGGGGGAAACCAATTGACCAGGTTCCCTATGATGTTACAAAAACAGAAGTTGTTGGAAAAGCTCAGAAGGTGTTGCAGCATCTGTGAAGAAAAATCAGAGTTAATGTTTCGGGTCCAGTGACCCTTCCTCAGAATGCTGAGCTTTGCTAGTTAGTTCTGTTTTTGCTCCTGATTTACAGCATCCGCAGTTCTTTTGGTTTCATTCCCTGTGATGTTACTGGCCTTCCTCCCCAGGATATGGTGGGAGAGTCCACTGGATTCCACTAGGGATTTGTGAACTCTGCAGTTTGTGCACAGTAAGCTGGAGAATTTATTGCAAAGTTAATCCTGTAATGAGAGTCACCAACTCCTCCCCACTAAGGAGTCACAAAGTATTAACAGATTTAGATTTAGATTTGAGATTAGATTTTATTGTCACATGTGCTCAAATATAGTGAGAAGTGTACAAAGTTACCATTCCTGGCGCCATCTTAGGTACAAGGTAACAAGGTACAAAATCTTAAGTACAAAGGTAGAAAAATAAAGAAATAAAGTTAAAAGTTAAATTACACAGTCATAGAACCAGAGAGTTGTACAGCATGGAAATAGACCCTTCGGTCCAATTCGTCTGTGCGGACCTAATATCTGAAATTAATCTAGTCCCATTTGCCAGCATTTGGCCCATAACCCTCTAAACCCTTCCTATTCATTTACCCATGTAGAGGCCTTTTGCTGATGTCATTGTAACAGCTTCCAGTCTTTCTAGTATAAAGTAGAAAAATAAATTCAGGTATGAAAAGCACAGGAGGAAAATGACAAGAGTAATGCAAAAGACATTTTTAAAAAAAAATCAGTCCCCATGAACATTAATTAAAATGGAATTGGAACGAAGGTTTTCTCCAACACTGAAGGAAGGTCATCTCATTATTACCTCTCTTCAATTCCGAAGAAGAATCATATCGAACGCGAGACATTAACTTTGTTTCTCATTCCACGGATGCTGCCTGACTTGCTGAGTTTCTCCAGCACTTTGTTTTTAGTCCAGGTTTCCAGCACCCACAGGCCTTTGCCTTAGTTACAACGGAGGGAGAAAAGGTTGTTTGACTGACAGTCAAGAATTGCCCATTCGCTTCATAATGAGACTGATGGCTTTCCACTGGCTGCAGGAAGGTGACGAGCTGTGAGAATGAACTAATCGGAAGGCCAACAGCAGCATCATGGGGGAGGGGCAGTAGGGGGCAGGAGTTTCTGAAGTTGTCTTCAAGGACATGTCCAATTACAACTGGCATCCTTAGCTATCATTTAAACTTCCAATGTCACCCTCCTGGCACCCCTATATAACTACAAATATTTCTATTCCTAGCACATCAACTGCCTCAACTTTATGATGCACTCTGTCTTTTGAATATTGAGTATGCTTCTGTTAAATTACTGGGGTAAGTAGACCAACCGAGAAACAGAATCCGTAGGGATATCCCGCACCAATATTGCACAGTAATACGTGAATGCATTGTCCACATAACAACGATAAACATTTATATATTCTTTGGTGTTGCTCAGTAGATAGTATTTGCTTTGTAATGAGACAAGTTCAATATCATCAGACGATGCAGGACATCAATGTCCTACATATGAACGTACTAATGAAGAGCAAGTGTGGGTCGCTAGGTCCTGAGCCTGCCTCTGCCATTAATACAATCACGGCATATTAGATTTTGGCCTTAAATCCACATTTCGGCCTACATCCTACTGCATTTTACTTCTATTACCCAAGTATCAACCTACCTCTGCCTTAATTGTATTTAACGACCTTGCCTCCAAATAGGAGACATTTTTTTAAAAAGAAGTTCCCCTAGTCCTGGTCTCTCCTGAAAGGGGAAAGGGGAAACTATTTTTTAAGCATCCACCCTGTCAAGCGCCCCTCTGCTCTTGTCTGAATTGTCCCATTCCAAAGTTTGCAGAAGTTGGGACTGTTTTTCCCTCAGACAGGAGGATGTTAAGAGATATGTTGGAGGTTTTCAACATAATGAGGGAGCTGGACAGAGCAGCCAGGGAGAAACTGCTCACAATTCTAAACAGACAGAACCCGGGTGGGGGGACAGTTTTAAAATGTTTTGCAAAGGAAGCAAACGTGAGGGGAGTAAAAAACATTTTAAAGCAGCAAGTGGTCAGGTCTGGAACTGCAAGTGTAGTGAAGGCAGGTACAATCGAGGTATTCAAGGGCATTAGATGATTATTTAAATGAAGATCATGTACAGGGTTATGGGGAAAAGGTGATGTGGCACTAAGTTAAAATGTGAGCCAGTGCAGTCATGATGGGCTGAATGGTTCCTTCTGCATCCAAACAGTTTTGTGATTCTGTCTACAATATACTTGAGTGTGATACCTACAGCTCTTGTGCAGTCATGTTTCCTTCATGGAAACTATGAAATTTAAATCAGTATCATTTTGGGATGAAAAGGGTTCATGTGAGTTGTGGTATCTCAAGACATGCCAGCACCAATCTAAAGAAAAACTGGGAAATTAAACTTACTGAAAAATGCAGCTTTTGGAAGGAGTCAACAGGAAATGCTTCAAGCTCAGTACAATGTGTAAAAGGAACAAGGAGACTTCAACTTTACCAGAGTGCTGCTGAAATAATTCTGATTCACAGGGGTTTTCCGTCAAAGGCTGAGGGAGGAAAGGTCCTAATATCACGGCCCAAGTTAAACCTTTGCCACTTGCCAGTGACATGTGTTCACTCCTCATTTCAAATTTCAAGGCACGTAATAAAACAAACAACACGCTTTCCCAAGAACAACTCGTGGTATGTTACCATCGCCCACTCCCTTGTATAACCATCACAATTGTCATCTCATCTCTCCTGTCTCCCACCCTATCTCAGGCCTTCCCACCTGTTCTTCTCTACACCTCAAATGATTCTTTCACCTTAAAAACAGATTATGTTTCTGACTTCTCCTAGTTCTGGTAACTCCATTTCTCTCTCTACTCGAGCAGCTTTCAGTTTATATTACAATGGTGTTTGACTTTTGCTTCTGCAATATAATAGAGGGGGCATTCACAGCAAACATCACAATCTGTCAACCTACATTGACTAATGAACTGAGACTTCTCGTTGAAACTGTTCTGTACTATTGTACAGTTGGGAAACAATTCTTTGTAACTGGCAGCACGATGGCTCAGTGGTTAGCACTGGTGCCTCACAGCACCAGGGGCCCAAGTTCAATCCCAGCCTTGGGCAACTGTCTCTTGGAGTTTGCATGTTCTCCCTATGTCTGTGCGAGATTCTGCCAGGTGCTCCAGTTTCCTCTCACAGTCCGAAGATGTGCAGGTTAGGTGGATTAGCCACAGGAAATGCAGGGTTATGGAGAGAGTCTGGGTGGAATGCTCTTTGGAGAGTTGGTGTGGATTTGTTGGGCTGAATGGCCTGTTCCCCACTGTATGGCTCTATGAACTTTTGCACAAAGTTACGTTGGGGATTGCTCTCCACACTCCTGAAGTAGAGAAAAAAAATTAAGCTATCCTCACGGATCTTCACAACACTATCTTCATAAATTAATTTCCTCAATGGTTCCAGGATTAGGATAGTTTGGGAGAAGATCATACTGTTTTCATTGGAGAGGAAAAGGCTGAGAGGAAATTTAAAAAGATTTAAAAACCATAAGGGGTCTGGGAAGAGTATGGGGGGCAGTGGGGGAGTGAATGTTGCCAATCATGAAACTTTAAAAACAAGAGGGTACACACTTAAAGAAGCGAAAGGGTTATTTTCTGAAGAAGGATCCTAACCCGAAACATCAACTTTCCTGCTCCTCTGATGCTGCCTGGCCTGCTGTGTTCCTCCAGCTCCACATTGTGCTGTCTCTGACTCCAGCATCTGCAGTTCTTGCTATCTCAGCATTGTGAGGAAAAGAAGATGTTTAGGATCTGGTGGTCACTTAGCTCAGTTAGCTAGATGGCTGGTTTACAATGCAGAGCAACACCAACACAGTGTTCAGTTTTTTAAGTTCATGAGATAAGGGCGTTGCTGGCCAGGCCAGCATTTATTGCCCGTCCCTAATTGCCCAGAAGACAGTTGAGTCAACCGCATTGCCTTGGGTCTGGAGTCACATGTAGGCCAGACCAGGTAAGGACAGCAGCTTCCTTCTTTAAAAGAACATTAGTGAGCCAGATGGGTATTTTTTTGACAACGGATTCATGGTCCTCATTAGACTTTTAATTCCAGACTTTCATTAAATTCAAATTCCACTACCTGCCATGGTGGGATTTGAACCCAAGTCCCTGGGTCATAGCCTGGGGATTAGCAGTCTAGCAC